TTTTATGGTATTCTATATTCTACTCTATTCCATTCCATTCAATGTTTTGTACTCCATTCTTATCCTATCCTATATTTTATGGTATTCTATATTCTACTCTATTCCATTCCATTCAATGTTTTGTACTCCATTCTTCTCTATTCTATATTTTATGGTACTCTATATTCTATTCCATTCCATTCCATATCTTCTATTCTATTCTATTTTATCTGTATTCTATGTTTTATGGTATGTTATATTCCATTCCATTCCATACATCCTATCCTATCCTATCCTATCCTATCCTATCCTATATTTTATGGTATTCTATATTCTATTCTATTCCATTCCATTCATTCCATGTTCTGTACTCTATTCTTCTCTATTCTATATTTTATGGTATTCTATATTCTATTCCATTCCATTCCATATCTTCTATTCTATTCTATTTTATCTGTATTCTATGTTTTATGGTATGTTATATTCCATTCCATTCCATACATCCTATCCTATCCTATCCTATCCTATCCTATCCTATATTTTATGGTATTCTATATTCTATTCTATTGTATTCCATTCCACATTCTCTACTCTATTCTATTCTACTTTACTTTATTAAGCCTGCCAACGTGGTTTATTTCCACATAGTTTTCAACTCCTGGCTTGGGTATGGGGTGGGACCAGAAGAAGACCTCCAAGGTCCCTTCCAGCCCTAAGATTCCATGAACATTTTTTTAAAAAAAATTCTATATATTCTATGCCCCAGAGAAACAACACAGTCCAGTTGGGATGTATCCATGTATGCCCATTGGGGAGAAACACGGGGCTGGGCCACGTGAAATTCCGGCACCCAAGGAAGGGAAGGATCCTTCAGCCAATCCGGGACTCCTGCCAGCTTTAATCTCCCGCAAGGAATTTATTGACGGGAGAGACAAAGTCTGAAGAACAAGGAAGGGCCAGTTGATCGGGTTCAATTTCCCCTTGTGGGAGGGGGGGGGCATAACAATCCTAAGGCTATTCCAGGGAAACAGGGGTGGGGAAGCCTTCTGGACGTGGGGATGGGAGCTTGCCAACTCCAGTGATCTCACAGGCCTGGACTGATTGGGGAGGGAGGAGGAGGAGACTGACCTTTCGGGGTTCTTGATCTCTTCCGTGACAAAATTGAGGGTGTCCCATCCGGAGTAGGAGAAGAGGGCGGAGTAGAGAGCCAGGGCGATGCTGCCCACGTCCCACGCAGAGCCCTCGAAGGCATTGGTTAAGTTCTCCGAGTGTCCTGCGGGAAAAGAGCGGGGAGAGGGAGTTAGCCCAAAATGTGGTCACCTCATGGTTGCTGCTGTGCTGCAATATTTTCACGGAGGCCTTATTTTCGGGGGAGGGCTTGTTTTAGCGCATGTGCTCAAAAGCCTGATTGGGCTTATTATCCGGGGAGGTCTTATTTTCAGGNTTGCTTTCAAAGCGCTATTTAAAGCGCCCTTCTTTCTCCGCGCTAGCTGTTGTCGCCCTGTTGATGACGTCAGCGACGCGGTTTAATCGGGCGCGGCTTAGTCGAGCGCGGTTTTGACGGGTCACGCAGATTTTGCTTGACCAATCGCTAAAGAACCTTTGCGCAATAAACCTTTCCCTCTGACAAAGAGCTGGTCTTGTCTCATTTTCTGCTACACTGCAATCTCTTACCTGTCAACGACTACTTCGGCTTCAACCGCAATAACACACGGGCAAACAATAGATACAAACTCAAGGTTAACCGCTCCAAACTCGATTGCAGACAATACGACTTCGGCCACAGAGTGGTCAACGCCTGGAACGCTCTTCCCGACTCCGTTGTTACATCCTCAAACCCTCCACAGCTTCAACCTTCAACTGTCTACCGTGGACCTCACCCCATTCCTAAGAGGTCCGTAAAGGGAGGCGTGCGTAAGCGCATCAGCGTGATTACCGTCCCTGTCCTCCTGTCCCCCATTCACTTGTACGCATTTCTTTTGTTTATGCCCGTGTTCATACTTCTACCTGCAATCTTGTTTGCTCTCTGCCGATTGCAAGATTTATCTTTTTTGCCTCTCAGAAAATCCATACCACAAACCTTTGATAAGAGCAGTGCTGCAATGCCTAGCTTTGCCCAACAGGTGGCACTCGCTCTCCATCTGAATTTCCTCCTAAATAAAACCTCAGGAATCTGAATTAAGGAAAAGAATCATAGAATCATAGGACTTGGGAGGGACCTGAGAGGTCTTCTACTCCTCTCTGTAGCAGCCCCCCTCCCCCAAATAAAGAATGCTAGTAAATCAAATCAATGGCTGGAAACTCATCAATGAGAGAAGCAAGCTGGAATTAAGGAGAAACTTTCCAACAGTGAGGATAATTAACCAGTGGAACAGCTTGCCACCAAAAATCGTGGGTGCTCCATCACTGAAGGTTTTTAAGAAGAGACTAGACAGTCACTTATCGGAAATGGTCAAGGTTCTCCTGCTTGAGAAGGGGGCTGGACTAGAAGACCTCCAAAGCCCCTTCCAGTTCTATTCCGTTCCGTTCCATTNGAGGACCCAGATTGTTGGAGTCAATAGGCTGACTCTGTAAACCACTTAAGACAGGGCTGTAAAGCAGGGGTGGGATTCTACCAGTTCGAACCGGTTTGGGCGAACCGGTAGCTCCGACGGACCGGTTTGGGCGAACCGGAGCGAATCGCTTCATCCGATGATCAAGTGGCGCCATCCACCCGCCTCTGTGCTTTACTCACCTGTATCTTCTCAGCTGAGTCGCGGGCAAGAGGGGATCAAAAGCCTCCACTGTTTTCCTCCCCAGAAGTAATGAGGAAGGAAAGGCGCATGCAAAGCACGCAATCATCGAACCAGTTGTTTAAACTGGTAGGATCCCATCGCTGCTGTAAAAGCATTATGAAGCGGTATATAAATCCAGGGGCTATTGCTATTGCTTTTAAGTATGGCAACAGGTTTCTCAGCACAAAACCTATCATGGAGCTATGCAATCTAATCTTCGGCATCAGACGGATGGGATTCCTCCTTCTCCATGACGCCAAATGTCACTATTTGCAAAGGGAGAATCCCATTACTACGGAATGTGAGCGCGTCAGCAAAATTCAAGTCACAACAACATGATCACTGCCAGAATTAAACACGCCATTTGAAGGCGACTTATCTCCTGATGCTGAAGCTTTGCCCTAAGTGCCAAGATGGTGAAACCCAAGACTGATTTTTAAACCCGTGTGTAAAGCACAGCCATGAAAGTAAAGCCATGTGCTCGATTTTTAAAAAATAAGTAAATCGCATCAAGATATAAAATATAGGTCAGACGCGGCCCCTGAGTGGAGCAACAGCAGGATTATGCGGGATTTAGCTATACTGTTGTCTTTCGTTGCAAGGATTTGGAGAACGCTGAGATAGCATTTTTAAAAATATATCTCACATCATCAAAGGAACACAATTCTACGATTTTCATATTTGCGAGGAAGTATTACAGCCTAACGCAGGACTATTATTCACTGGTCTCGTTCCATCTTGTTCTTATCTTCCACAAAGTCAGAATCCAAGACAAGTTTTTACATTTAGAATAGAATAAGAGAGTTGGAAGGGACATTGGAGGTCTTCTAGTCCAACCCCTGCTTAGGCAGGAAANAAGACAGAACGAGAGAAAGAAAAGCAGAAAAAGAAAGGAAGGAAAGAAGGAAGAATAATGGGAAAGAAAATGAAGGAAGGAAAGAAAGAAAGAAATTGATTGTGACAGAGGGAGGGAGAGAGAAAGAAAAAAGAAAAAGAAAGAAGAAAGGAAGGAAAGAAAGAAAGGAAGGAAGAGATTAAGACAGAGAGAGAGAAAGAAAAGAAAGAAACAGAAAAAGAGAAACAGGAAAGGAAAGGAACAAAGGAAGAAAAGAAGGAATAATAATGGGAAGGAGGGGGGAAAGAAGGAAAGAAAGATTGAGACAGGAGGAGGGAGAAAGAAAAAAGAAAAATAAAGAAAAAAAGAAGAAGGAAAAGAAGGAAGGAAGAGATTAAGACAGAACGAGAGAAGGAAAAGCAGAAAAAGAAAGAAAGGAAAGAAAGGAGGAAGAAAGGAAGGACCGACCTGAAATCCAGAATCTCCTCTTTATAGTTACAGAATGAGGGAACAATCGCCCCTTTCCTTCAGATGATTCATATGTAGTTCTTAGAGTAGTAGTTTCACATAGCAAGACCAACCCTAGAAGCACAAAGTGTATCACTGGGGAAACTAGCAGAAGGCAAAAGAGGAAGAAGAGAAAGAGGGAGGAGAATAAAAGTGAAAGATAGAGAAAGCCCAACATGGCTGCTAATCCACCGATCTCACTCCTACGAAGAGTTCTTCCAGATGCAGAAATAATAATACAATCCTTGAGAAGGGTGGACCAAAGGCCCCAAGCCAAGTCTAAATATCTGGCTGACCATGCAACAAACCACGATAATCACCTCTGATCTCACTCTCTTCTTTAGTTTTCAAAATGGGTGTGAGGGCAACCTTTCCACAACACTATAATCACTACGTTTACAATATAGTCACTTCATTATTCCAGTGGGAAAATCAGGTTTTCTGAATTTGGAAGCAAATTCAGAACCTCTGGAACAAAGCACGGAGGAGCAAATTGAAAAAAAACAAAACACATCTCTCCAAAAAACAAGCAACAGGGACTTTGACATGTGGAAAAAAAAAATTCGACTCATGGAAACCATTTTTACATTTTTTTCCCTACCTCATGGACAAGGGCCAGGCTACCTTCTATGAAAGGAAGTCCTTCCTCCCCCCCCCCCAACCCAGGAATAGAAGAGTAACAAGAGTTGGAAGGGACCTTGGAGGTCTTCTAGTCCAACCCCCTGCTCAAGCAGGAGACCCTACACCATTTCAAACAAACAGTTGTCTAGTGTCTTAAAAACCCTCCGGTGTTGAAACAACCCACAATTTTGCAGGGCAACCTCAGTTGTGGGACCTGCTCCTCAACATCTCAGCCCGCTTCAGAACCCATAGGAGAAGCTTCCTTCGGGTGAAAATACAAAGGCATATTAAGTGGGAGAAAGACAAAAATGACACACTACCTCATGTCTTGGGTGCAGATCTGAGAATTACGGGAAGTTCCTCGCTCTTCTTTTTGCTGCGTCCCAACACTTTGGGTGCTTCTGAGTGTGCGTCTTTGCAACCCAAGGTTTCACGACGGCCTCTCTGCTTCCTTTGTGGTTTTTCGTCACAGGCTATAGCTTCCGTTACTGATGAGGTCTCATTTGCACTAAGGCAATGCTTTTTGGGGGGGCGGGGAGAGGAGGGGAAATGCTAGCAGGTTTATCAGTGATTTTAAGGGGAAAAAATAGATGGTCTCCTACTTCGTTGGGAAGCCTTTCAAGCTGTTTTTTTTTTAAAGATCTACATTTCCCACTTTCATGCCCATCACGAAAGAAGCGTAAAGAAACTTACTTTAAGTTCCTAGTCCTCAGTTTCGTTCTTGCCTTTGATAGAGGCTAGAGGTTAAATGTACAACCAATGACTTACTAACCTGCCTTGAGTTAAGTCTTGGTGGTCCGTGACCGTGGTTCATGGCCACAAAAGGTATTTTAAGGGTTTCCACGATGAAGAAAAAGTTGAAAACTGTACCTTAGGCCAGGGGTGTCAAATGCAAGGCTTGCGGGCCAGATCCCTGTGGGGCTGCCTAAGATTTTGTGTATTTCAGTCAACTTCTGCCAACAACACAAAATAAACCGCAGGTTCTCCTGAACGACTTGGGAAAATTATAATCAGTTATATCAAGGCCATCATCATGACTTTATAATCTGCGCACTCCCAGTTTAACTGCAGAAAAAACAANGGAGAGGGAGAGAGGGAGAGAGAGGAGGAGAGAGGGAGGGAAGGAGAGATGGGGGGGAGAGAACAGTAAAGCCTGCCTTAAGGGAGGCAGGATGCTTTAATTAGAAATGGAAGATTTCACCTTGTTTTCTAGAGAAAACATCTCATCTGATTTCTGGATAATCTAACCCTAGATAGGCCAACCTTGACAATCATTACTTTAATTCGCTTTTATCTGCATTTGCTGTTCACTGCATATTTTCTCTTTCTCCTTAACATTTAAATTTAGACTGCTAACTTCCACATGTTGCTTTATGCTTTTGCTCCACTGTAAATTGTCTCAGACATTAATAAATCTGCAGCTGCGGCTATAGTAGCAGCAGCAGCATTAGTAGACATTGCTATGGCTACTACTACGAGCATCATTTTATTAAGGCAATAAGGCCATTTTTTTAATCAGACCAGTTTTTTCTTTTAGCTATGTCAGATGTTTTGCTAACACGCCACTAACAGC